CCCCACAAATGAACACGCATTTTTAATTTTAAACACAGTGTCTTGTTGTTGCTGCTACTGCCGTTCGTTGAAGGACTGTAACAGACGTTACCACTTTCCATATATGATCCTTTCCTAACAGTTAAATAAGACGAAAGCTTAAGTTTTTATTTAATTTCTTCAATTTTTTCAGTTGATTTAATTTTTATCAACACGTTTAATAATTGTACTAGTTTGTCGATTCCTCACTAGTCTTTAATTTAACTTAGGTTTGATCACTAATTATTACTTTTAATACTGATCCCAGTTTGTGTTAATTAGTTTGATTATTCTTTAGTTTTTAAACTCTTCCTTTTTGTTTTGTTCACATTAACTCTTATTAACTAGCTTAACTAGCCAAGCCCATTGGCTCTACAGAACTCAGAAAAACGAAAATCAGCATTTATTACCGTCAAGCTGACGAGTTGACCTTGGTTACTGCTATTTTGAAAACTGCAAACGACGCTGCCTACTTTTAGACATGCCTTATGATGGAATATAAACCAAGAACATTCTTCATAGTTTGAGACTTTCGACTCTCAACAAACAACATAATTAATTGTAATTATTGTTAAGTATTAACAATTTAAAGACAGTTACAAAAATAAACATATATTATTCTTAACTTTTTTGTGAACACTCAAAAATAATTTTACACTTAAAAATAGACCCAACGCACCCGGTACATTCCTCGCAGTATAAAAAACCACAGAGTGCCACCTACTGAGTCAAACAGCGCGCAAACCAATGGTGAGATGTTTGTTCTTATTTGCTGTCCGAGTTAGTATAATAAGTCTGTGCATCTTACGTTATACTTATAGTGTAACTATTTAATATGTGGACAATAAAGGCTTCTTTGTTTTAATTCTTGATAGTTCTAAGATATATATTTTAGTGGCAGGCAGTTGATTTGTAGTATTACTTCGTCTTTATCATATTTCATGAGAAGTGATCTACTTCAATATTAAGAGTTATTATTTTTTTTCGGACAAAATTGAAAGCAACCAATTCTGGGAATTAAAAAAGAAACCAAGTTTTTTTCATTATTTGAGCCTACTTTCCCATTTTTCAGGAATTGAAACTTGGGTCCTTTTTCGTCCTTCGATTTCCGGATGACGTTATTGAGTTAAAACTGGAGTGACTTCCGATCGCATAACTATATCACTTGTTAATGCATGCAGCTCATTTAACTTGAGGTTACCTGCCAAGTCATCACCAACACAACGATGTCCCAAGACAGTCTTCTTCCTACTTGTCAGTGCTACACATTTGCACAATATATGCACCGCTATCTCCTTTTATTCTAGGCATAGTCTGCAAGGGTCTTTTTCAGTAAGAGTTATCTTTTTGAGGTGATACTTGAAGCTTCCATATCCAGCAATCAATGAGGTCAGCCAGCTTAAGGATTTTCGTGGATAGCAAAGCACTTTTGTCGTTTCCCAATGGTTTCGGCATTAGGAGATTAGTTTCTCTACAAGTGCTCATATCTCATACAAACTCTAAAAATAAAGTTTGTGTTCGCGGATACATGTGTTTATGTGTTTCGGACATGAACAGTACACTACAATACTGTACTGTTTATTTTCGTTCACTGCTTTCGAATAAACCCCAGCTCCAGCTCTGCCACCCATCAAGGAGCCATCATTCATCATGTAGAAGATCGCTTACTATCAGTGTTCTATAGGACACATCCGTCCCATAAGTTCTGTTTCGAACTTGGTCTGAAAGAACAGAAAATTGACTCAATCATGCGGTCTAAATTAGGTACTTTCTCACGCTTAAATATAGTATTTTTTCAAGTGGAACTGTAGTAAATAAAGTAGAAGTTCAGCCTTTAACTAAAATTTTACCACAATACCAATATTTTCATTTTTTATTTATTTATTTTATTTTTGGCATGTTATTAATCACAATAATTAAAAACTTAGCCTATTTACAAATAATTTCCAATTTCCTCTATTTCTGGTCATATATCGTAATTCATTAATCGATTTGGATGTTTACCGTTGTATTGTACGTCTCCACGTAGTTCTTTGTCTTCCAACACCTTTTTTAGCTCTTTAGCTTTTTTTAGCGATCTGTCTACGTATAGTTTGGACCAGCCAACCGTATTTCCGTATTATTTCTTTGCTGATCTCCATCTGATTTGTGATACACCACAATCGTTCATTCGTGATTATTCTTGGCCAAAAGATTCCCACTTTTCTTCTTAGGCACCGATTGACAAGGTTTTGTAGTTTTTCTAGATTTTGTATAAATTATTTTTCAAAATTTTCAATAAAATTTTCAGTTAGCATTCTCCACATTATACTGCCAAAATATTAAACATTTAATTTTTGTTATTCTATCGTCCACATTTTACGCAAATTGAGCTTAATGCTTTTTGGCTCCTCTGAGTAGACGAAGTTATAGAATATAACCGCAGACAATTTATTATCTGAACATTTTTTTATCGTATTTAATATTTGCAAACGAATCAGTGAAGAGCACCTGCATTTATTCTAGTGCCAATTAGGTGCAATACTTCAACTGCAGCCAGTTTAAGAGTCATTTATAGTCAAGTACTAGTATTTCTTGACCTATGCCATATTAAAACATAAATGCACCGCACTCACCTATATGAAGGATATGAAAATATTATACTTTACACTCCATGCATAAGCGAAGTGATAAGTTGAATTTTTATGAAGCTGAACTTTCACACAGACATATATCTAAAAACTCAAAAATAAATATTATTTGTAAATATAATAATTTTAAATTCTATTTATCATTTTAATTTATTTTTTCTGCTGCACGATAAAATTCAACCCAATTAATTCAACCTCGCAAGGACCATGCGTTCAGTTCAGGTAATTTAATAACGCAAACTGGCACAATTTAAGCCGTTGCGGTTAATATGGCGATAGACAAGCGGTTGACATGGTTGACAGCTATGGCGTAAACGGCTCACAAAAACCATACAAAAAAAATAAATAAATAAAAGGATATGAAATAAAATAATATAAAGCGAAACAAAATAAAATATGCAAAATAATGCGGAAAAAGCGAAATGCTGTGAAGCAGCGA